GACATCTGAAAATCTCCACCCAATGAAGTAAGTCCAGAAGGACCAAAAGAGAGAGGCCACTGTAATCTGATTTTGCAGCCAGACAAGGCTTTCGCTGCCCAGGCTCCCACATCCGTAGCCCCTTCCCCAGTCAGTCTGGAAACTGCGTTCTCCAAGGAGAGCATTTGACACAAGAGGTTTTAAAATCCCCCTCCCCCAATTGTGTATGATGGGTTTGGAGGAGGTGAGCCTTCATCCTCAAGGCGACCCCAAGTATAGGCAGCTGTGGGCGGTTTTATTATGAAGTGAGGCTGGACGGTAGGATTGCAAGGACAGACTGAGCTTGCACTTTCCCCGGAAACACAATGAAACAAAAATCCAGTTCCCAAGATCCCCCTTTGAAGCTCTGTCCTGCAGAAATATCTCAAGTCAGTGGCTACAATGGCATGACAATTTTGGAAAATGAAGGAAACTCCCAATTCTGTCTCATTAAGATGCTCTCAAGGGTCCTGCGTGGATCATCCCACACTTCTTGCCTCCCTGAGCTAATCCAGGTTTGGAAAACAAGGAGGGAAGCACAGGAGAAGATGCCCAAGAGATTCGGACTTCTCTGAGGCTTTGGCTTGTAGCCCCCTGGTCTTCACTAGGGTTTGGGGCTCTCCCTTAGATAAGCTTGACATCAAAGCCCCCTGTGCCTAACGGTGGGGAAGAGGAAGATCAGCAGCTGCTGGGCTGGGGGCAGCCAACCTGTTTGCTCTCCAGACCTATCCTAGCTTCAGTCCAAGGCCAAGGGCTGGGAACATCATTTTATGTGCCAGAAACTTGGGATTACCCCCCCCCCCCCGCAGTGTATGCCCGTGGCACATACAGGCACCTAGCTGGTGTTCTTTGGAGTGAGTGAATGTGTAAATGATTGACTTCTGAGTGAATACAGAATTTCATCAGTTCCTGCCAGGCTTGGGGTATTGCTAACTAGGGAGGAAGGAGAAATGGGGGGCCCCTTCCATTAAAGCCTGTAAGCCCCACCAATGCCATTTGGCCTTTGACTCAACTGGGGGCCATGATGCTATCCAAATTTGACATTTGTCTGCCCTAAGGTCCACAGTCTTCTCAGAGCAGCACTTCCTGGGGCCCCACAGGGCATCCGCATGTTCCTTCCTACTGTCCTGTCTTGCATTTTCAGCCTCATGTTCTAGTCTAGCTCACAACAAGGAAGGGATTTGCTGGGGGCAGGAATTTGGGAGCTGACATCTGGAAACTGGATTGCATTCCCTGAGCCATGGGAGTCCAGCTGGAAAGGAGGGCAAACCTGCCCTCCACCTTTGAGAGCTAATGGGTCTTCCTTTCTTCTGACCCCAGTGCCCCCAAAGGTAGCATGTGCCCCAATTCCATCAGCTCTAAGACCCTCTGTCCCTCCCAGGAACCATGGTGTGAGGTTGAGGCTTTTCTGCCAGCAAAGCCATTCTGATCACCCCACCCATGATGGGGGCCAAGCCAATCACATTAGCCATAAATGACCAATGTCCTTAGCCACTCTTTTCTTGGGGTCACATTTGTGGGTCCTGTTCATCTCTGGTCCGTTGATGTCTCTAGTCCTTCCTGTAAAAGTGAAAATGAACATTGTGTGTGTGTGTGCCTGTGCACACGCACACACATGCACACATACACAGACACACTTACACACACAGAAACCAAACAACAAAAAACTTGTGTCTTTTTATGCATGTGATGAGATGAAATTGTGACCTCCAGCTGCTGTCCTGTCTTGTAAAATATGTCCAAATGTTCAAGAATTTCTAGGCAAATGGTCCTTTAACGAAGTATGCACAGTTCAATAAAAAGGTATGGAGAAAACAAGCTTGGTGGAGTTTGTATTATTTTTGGGAGGGCATAGGGAAATGGGGATGTGAGATCTGCGGGAGAGGCTGAATCGGGGACCTGGGGGGGCAGCACTAGCTTCTTCACCTGAAATAGAGATGGTCTGAAAATGTAACAGGCTTGTCACCCCGATATGCAAGCAGTGGCAACGTTTCCCCCACCGCCGGGTGCCATGTGCATGGACCAAAGTCTAAACTCTGGTTATTTGGCTCTCGTGTTAACTGTACGTGGGCATTCTTGGCCCCACCACCTCTTATCAACATGCCTCAGGTGCCTACAAGAGTCACACACCCGACTCTGGTGCTCCATCCCCCTTCTCTTCTTTATTGTTCTCTGTAACACTGCCTCGGACACACTGTACTTTATTTACACATTTTGTTTATTGTTGACCTCCCTTCAACAGAACATAAATTCAAAAACTGGAAAGCAAAGAGAATAAAGACTAGGAAAAAAAAAACCAAACCCAGAACAGCATATCCAAGGACCATGTGTGTATCTGTGTGTGTGTGTGTGTGTGTGTGTGTGTGTTTTATTTTATTTTACCCACCCAAATAGTAATATACCATAAACACGGCTCTGCAGATTGCTTTTGTCATTTCATAGATCTTGAAGATCATTCTGTATTTCTGTATTAATGCATGAAGAGCTTCCTCATTCTCTTGGGAGCCTGTGTTGTGTTCTGTTGTACACAGTAATTGCTAGTCTCCTACAGCTGAGCATTAAGGTTGCTTCCAAACTTTTGTGATAACAAACAGTGCTAAATGAATGGCCTGTCAGCGGTTCCTGTGGGCTCTGCCTCCAAAATAGATTTGGAATCTGTGCTGCTCAACCCTGCATCGCCGCCATGTGGGGCCACCCCATCGCTGTCTACCGCCTCATGATTGCGATGGCCTCCAGACCAGGCTCCCTGCTTCTACCTTTGATCACATTCAAGCTCCTCTCAGCACAGTGGCCAGAGGGATCCTGTCAAACTGTCAGTATGATTATGTCACTTCATTGTCAGAACATTCCAGAGGCTTCTCATCGCATTCTGAATAATATCCAAAGTCCTTGGTGCTGTCTGCAAGGCCATACATCCCCTAGCCCCACTGTCTCTTTGATTTCACTACCCCCTGCTTTCTCCTGAGGCTGTGTGGCTCCATTATCACTGGCCTCCTCACTGTTCCTCAGACATGCCCAGAGTGGACTCACCTGATGATCCTGCCCCTTTCCAGTCCCCACCCCTGAACCCTCAATCCTCTTGGATCTCCTGTCTGATTACTCTTCCCTTCCCTCAGTCCTCTTCAGACACATTGGCCACCATTCAATTTTCCAATACACCAAGCATACTTCCACCCCAGGACCTTTGCACTGGCTGTCCCCTATGCCTGGAACATCTTTTCCAGGCTGGCCTCATGGCTCATTCCCTCACCACCTTCAGGTGTCACCTTCTTGGCATCCCCTTTATCTGACAATCCTGGTTATAATGGCAACATCCCCTACCCACACACGCATACCTCTCATAGGCTGTCCCCTTCTGCATTGTTCTCCATAACACCATCTCTGACACACTATATTTTATTGTTTTCCTCCCTCTAATAGATGATAAATTCCTCCCTCCAGTAGAGCATAAATTCAAAAACTTATAAGCGTTGAGAACAAAGACTAAAAAAACAGAAGATCCAAGGACTGTGGGACAACTATAAAAGGTGTGACATCTGCATAACGGGAATACCAGAAAGAGAAGAGAGAAAGGAACAGAAGAAATATTTGAAATGAAAATGACTGAGAATTTCCAAAACTTAATGTCAGACTAAACCACAGATCCAGGAAGCACCAAGAAGCATAAATTTCCCCAAAATAACTCCACCAGGCATGTCATTTTCAAACTAGAGAAAAATCAAAGATTAAAAAAAAAAAAAAAACCTGGAAGAATCCAGAGGAAAAAACACCTCACCTGTAAAAGACCAACGATAAGAATTACACCTGATGTCTCAGAAACCATGAAAGCAGGAAAAGAATGGAATGAGAGATGGCAAGTGTTGAGAGAAAAGAAAGGGAAAAACCCAGCAACCTAGAATTCTATACCCTACAAAATTACCCCACAAGAGTGCAAGAGAAATAAGGACTTTCTCAAACAGAAATGGAAGGAATTTGTTGCCAGTTGACCTGTCTTACAAGAAATGTGACAAGAACAACACATCCTCAAGAGGAAGGCTACCAATTAACAGATTAAGATGTCTGACACACTGGTGTGAAGAAAAGTGAAATTGGGTAAAGAGAGAGAGATGGGGCAAAAAAAAAATAGCACCCACTTAATAAGGCTGGCATAAAGATTAAGTCAAATGATCCATAAGGTTCTTTGTATAGAGGTGGGCACAGGTAAGTGTTACACAAATGTTGGCCACTGGTGTGTTTTCAGTGTTGGCTCAGGGGGCGCACATGTGTTAGAGACCATAGGGCACTGCTCCCCTGAAGTTTACAGCTTGGGACAGCATTTTATAAACTGAGCCGGGACCACTCCTGCAGGGGTTCTTAAACTTTGCGTGCCTGGGACCACCAGGTGGTCTGATAAGCCCCATGCACACCCTCTCAGAAAAGTAATTTTAAGTGCATGAAATATGACGCATGGGTTTACAAAAGAAACCTACTCTATTGAAATGCAATTATTAAAATATTTTAACGATGTGATACAGTAATACATGTGTTTCTTTATTAACAAACAAGCAGATCTCGTAGAGGGTCTACTAATGACCAAAACCCTTGAGAAGTGGAAGAACGTCAATGCTGTTTTAAGTCATCTGCAACAACTATAATGGAACACAAAATCATCTACAATTTGTATCAGTGACAACATCACAAGTACTGCAAATACTAAGATGATTTGTTGCCTGCGTTGGCAACTAAAGGAAGTGTTACAGGTCAGCTGGAGGTCAGTGAAAATAAATAGAGGGAGTTTTGTCTCCTGCAAGCTCACAGACCCAGATTACAAACCTGTGTTACGGGACTTCGCAATTTATTTCACAGGTCATGACTGTTACTTTTTTAATGAAAGAACAACTTGGCTGGAATAGAAATAGACTAGAACAGAAGAGAATAGAATGCATTGCTCATAATATAAGTACAGATTCATGCAATTTCCATTTCAATTGTGTGTGTTACAGGTCATGATGCAAAATGTACTTCTTCCTGCAATTCAGAAATAGCCGAGAAGCAATGACATGGGAGAAAGCAGGCCCAGCACAGCCACTACCACACTGCAGGTGCAAACATCCTTGCCCCTCCCGCCAGGCCCCATCTGCCCTCCTGCCCACACACAAGAACACACACGGGCTCCAAAAACGCTGTGTTGTCAGGAGTCGCCCAACTGTTTCCCCTCCTCCTCGGGGAGAGGAGCAGGTGTGGTGATGCCCATGTCCTGAGCTCATCGCCTGTCTGGGGACATGCCCCTCCTGATGGCCACATGTCCCCAGAGCAAATATTAGGAGAGCTTTTGTGAAAAGCCAGCTGGTAGCATGTCTGAAGGTGCCAGGCTGCAAAGGTTCGGGCCTGAATAAACTGCCCGAGAGGAGACACTACAGGGGACGAAGGCTGGGCAGGTCGTTTTGTGCTTTTTCTGGATGCGTGTGTCCTTCCTATTGCCAATCCTGAATCTGGAAGGAGAGAGTTTGGGAGAGGACACTGCAATCAGAAAAAGAAAAATTTCTAAGGGAACCTACTCTCTGGTCTCCCGAGCAGAAGGGAGACTGACACTGGCAGAAGGGACGTTTCAGGAACAAAGGACCCACTTGTCAAATGGGTTGGCAATTTCCCTTCTGTGCTAATGAGCAGGAACTGGCTGGAGGAGAAAGATGGGCTTTGGGGGGCGGGGATTCATCAAGCTGCAGCTCAGTCTAAGTGATGGCAAAGAGAAAACTTGGGGTCTGAAGCATCTGAGCTCAAATTCTAACTACAGCACTGCTTTGCTATGTGACCTAGGGCCAGTCCTTTTCCTTCTCTGGATCCTGGTTTTCTAGTCTGTAAGACGGGAAAATAATAATGTCCACTTCAAGGGGCTGCTGGAGGGCTTCGAGGAAAAGAAGTAAATTGCTTAGCCCAAAGCTTGGCATCCAGTGAGCACTCCATAATGGTAGCTCTCACTGTTCTTATAATTTTTACCGCCACTGCAACCTACAGCCTACATGCGTTCTTTAATGGAGAGCTATTGTCTAGCTGAGCTCCTACCAATGCCAGAAATCATAGAGCACATGAAATCATGCTCGTTAACACTCACCGAGCATTTACTGCGCGTCAGGCCCTGTTCCAAGCCCTTTACGTGATTTGCTAATTAATTCTCAGCAACAACCCTATGAAACACAACCTATGAAATTATCACCATGGGTATCATCATAAAATTATCATCACCAACAACCCCGCGAGATGATCATTATCCTTATTTTACAGATGAGGAACTATGTCAGTTTTCTATTGCTAAAGTAACAAATTATCCCAATGCTTAGGGGCTCCAAACAACCATAAATATTTATTATCTCACACAGCTTCCGTGGTTCAGGGGTTTGAGAGTGGCTTAGCTGCGTGGCTCTGGAAGGGACTCTCTGATGAGGTTGCCGTGAAGGACCCGGCCAGGACCGTTGTCTGAAGGCTTGACTGGGCCCAAAGGCTGACTTCCAAGATGGCGCCCTCACATGGTTGGTGGGTCGATGCAGAGCTGTTGGCGGGAAGCCTCGGTTCTTGCCCACCTGAATTTGTCCATAGGGTTCCTTGAATGTCTTCACATCCCTCTTGAGGGCTTCCTCAGGGTGAACGATCCAACAGAAAGACAGAAGCTATGGTGTGTTTCCCCCACAACTGTTTTATTGTGACAAAACACACATCCCATAAATTTTACCATCCCCAGCCACTTTTTTAAAAGACTTTATTTTTAAGTGATCTCTACGCCCAACATGGGGCTCAAACTCATGACCCTGAGATCGAGAGCCACATGCTCCTCTGACTGAGCCCGCCAGGTGCCCTCCCAGCCATTTTAAGCGCACAGTTCCGTGGCATTAAGTCCACTCCCACTCTTGCGCAACCATCGCCACCGTCCCTCCCCGCAGAACTGAAGCTCTAAACCCATTAGACGGTAACTGTCCACTCTCCTTCCCCCAGCCCCTGGCAACCACCATTGCGATTTCTGTCTTTACGACTTTGACTCCTCTAGGTACCTCCTATAGGTAGAATGATAGAGCATTTGGGTTTTTTGTGTGGCCGACTTACTTATTTTACTCACCATCATGTCCCCAAGGTTGTCTCGCCTGTGTGCAGAATTCCCTTCCTTTTTTTTTTTAAGAGTTTATTTATTTATCTGACAGAGATCACAAGTAGGCAGAGAAGCAGGCAGAGAATGAGAGGGAAAGCAGGCTCCCCGCCGAGCAGAGAGCCCGATGTGGGGTTCCATCCCAGGACCCTGAGATCATGACCTAAGCCGAAGGCAGAGGCTTTAACCCAGTGAGCCACCCAGGCGCCTCCCTTTTTAAGTCTGATAATAGTCCACTGTCACAATGTGTTTTTCTTATCCAGACTTGGAAGTCACGCACACTGCCTCTTCTGCAGTATCCTCTAGGCCATGCAGGTCAGCCCTATTCACTGTGGCCCGGGGTGACCCGAAGGAGGGAATACAAGGACATGAGCATCACCGGAAGCCATCTTGCAGGCTGGCCACTGCCGAACAGAGGCCCCACAGGGTTAGTGGATTTACCCAAGATCCCACAACAGGCAAGTGACAGACCCTGGACTCAAACCCAGATCTGTGACATGCATCGCTGCATGACCACTCTACAGTATTGGCAGCCCCCCAACCCACACCTCAACATGGCTTCCACTGGGGAAGGAAATGTCCCTGGTGGGGCAGAGACTGCCCGATCCGAAGGTCAGGAGACCTGGGCTGGAGTCCACGTTCTCGCATAATTCACCATGTGACCTGAAGTGAGGTCCTGCCGCCCACCAAGGGCTCACTTTTCTGAGGTGTCAGGCAGGGGCCCAATAACGACTTCCCAGGTTGTTGAGGTGAAGAAAGAAAATGAATATACTATATAAAGCTTCATCCACAGAGATACGTGAAAATGATACATTCCCTGCTTTTTGTTTTATTTAATGGTTACTTATTTACTAGGGAATAATGTCACAGGGTGTCAGTCGGAAAGGTGTGAAAGGGTTACGCAGGGAAAATCTCTCTCTCGCCCCCTCTGGTCACCACCCAGTTTCCCTTCCCAGAGGCAGCTACTCCTACTAGTTCCTCCTTGAATTATCACATTCCTTTCTTTTCTTTTTTTTTTTAAAGATTTTATTTGTTTATCTGACAGACAGAAATCATAAGTAGGCAGAGAGGCAGGCAGAGAGAGAGAGGCTAGGGCTGAGCAGAGGACTCCCCCCAACCCCCGACACGGGGCTCGATCCCAAGACCCCGGGATCATGACCCAAGCTTAAGGCAGAGGCTTTAACCCACTGAGCCACCCAGGTGCCTCACATTACTTTATTTTCTTAAACCAACCTAATTTCCAAGGACCTGCTAAGCAGGAGAGAAGATCAGTTCAGCCCCTTTTGGGTCTGGGGAGCCTGGGTCTCACCTGTCACCAAGGCATAGACGGTGGTGAGGAGGCGGGGCCTTCCAGTTATCACTGGTCTAACCACCTCGGTGACTTTGGAGGTGTCCCCTGCCCCAGGCGTGTAGAGTCCTTGGAGCCAAGGAGAGGAGCTGGGGTTTGAACCCAGGTCCGGAGCCCAAGCTCTTAAGCCCTTCATTACCTTCCAAAGTTCAGATCCTTTGCAGCATTTGGAAAAATATAAAAAATGCAAACACACAACTACCCAAAAATGATGAATAGCACTGTTTGTCCCTGGAATAAAACCCATTACTTAAAAACGTAACTGCGGACAGCGTGGAAAGGTTAAAAATTCTTAAGCTATAACATAAAGTTAAATATAAATAAATTCTAGACACAGCTGAGGCACTACATCTTTTAGGGAGTTTTGTTGATCCTTCAAAGGCAGGATCAGGTGGGGTTTTTTTTTTTCCTGGCCTCCCACAGCCTCCTGAGCCTACACCGTTGCAGTCCTTGTGACAGGAAGCTCTAACTTCCTGTGACTTCAGTGAGCTGCTTAACCCAGCAAATGTGGGAGCAAGATGGCCTGGGTTCAAATCCTGACTCCTCTACCTTCTGGCCGGGTAGCCCTGGGTAAGGTATTTCAACTCTCCGCGCTTCATGAACTGGTACTAACAAGAGCTAGTTCCGAGGACTGTGGTGTGAATTAACGTGTTGTAGCTTGGAAAGCCTTGTCAGAGTCAATCCTGTCTGTCTGGCACTGCGTGTTTGTTACTGTTTGTGACCTCTCTGCACCAGAGTGTAGACTGTGAAATGCAGAGTGACTGAGGATTGTTACTCTAGAGGGATGGGCAATCAGGGAAAGCCTCCCGGAGGTGGTGACTGTGAAGCAAGATCTGATTGACAGTAAAGAGCCAATCACACAAAGAGCTGGGAGAACAGCGTTTTAGGCAGAGGGCACAGCAGGGACAAAGTTCCTGAGGCAGAAATAGTCTCAGGAGGTCAGCTTGGCTGGAGAGGGATATACAAGAAGAAGGGGGGGTGGGAAGGAGGCGGGAGAGGTCAGCTGGGGCCCGTCACACAGTGCCTTGTCAAGCAGGGTCACTTTGAGCAGTGGGCAGCCACCGCGGGGTGGTTAGACGCGGCAGCAACACAATCCTTGCCTCCAGGAGCCCCCTCCATAATAGGAGTGGTCCCAGCTGGAATCTACAGACATCTGCTCACCCAAGGCAGCGCCTGGGTTCAGCCTGGAGCCGCTCAGCCCGGGAGTCCCCACCATCCATCCTTGTTTCTGACTCCCTGCAAGCTAGACTCGAGGCCCCATTAATATAAATGAGGTCCTTTGCAGACTCGATTTTCAAACGAGTCCAGCCGTTCAAGATCTCTATTCCAGGAAATGCGAAATTTATGTAACGAAAATTAAAAGAGAAACTGGGGAAGTGGCTTCTTAAGTGCCTACTTCCCGGCTAAGCGAGCCAGGTCTGCGCATCTGGCAGGAGGTGGGTGAAGGCACCACCGGGGGCTGCTGGGAGTCTCTGACCAGCCAGGGGGCAGGGCGCGTGTTGGCTGCAGGCAAGGGGTGAAGCCCCCAGACCCACCTCCTTCCGTCAAAAAAAGAGCCACAGGAGTAAGAGCTCACGTTCAGTGCTTCATGCCCAGCCCTGTTCTAGGCACTTTATGCACACTGGTCATCACATTTACCCTCCCGACGACCTAATGGGATGGGCACTACTATTTTCCCCATTTTACAGTTGGGTAGACAGGCTCATATTGAAGAAATGACTTGATCAAGGTCACAGAGCAAAATGGTAGCTAATTTGGGACTCAGGCCTTTTGTCTATTGCTCCAACTACCAAACTGCTGTGTGACTCTGGACAAGCCACTTACCTGGCTGAGACTGTTTCTTTATCAGCATAGCTCCTTCCCCCGGGAGTTCATCTCTGAATGAAAGGAGATAATATATAAAGATGCTAAGCGCAGGATTTCAGACGCCCTCTCAAACTGGCTTAGTTAAAAATTCTTAAAAATAAACCCTTAGAACTAGAAAGTCTTAGGGTAATGGCTTCAGGTATGGCTGGATCTAGGAGCCCTAAAAATGTCACAAGGACTCAGTTTTTTATCTCTCTCCATGTAGTGGATCCTCACTAGGAGCTCCAGGGTTATAGCTTTCTTACAGCTAAACATTTGGGTGGAGAGAGAGCTCTTTTTTTCCCAAAAAGGCAGCCAAAGAACCATAATTCACTCTGGAACAATGTGGTCACGAGCACATCCCATAATCAATCACTATGGCCAGATGGATGGACTATGCTGATTGGGCCACCCCTGAGCTAGGGGGAGGGGTACAGAAAGCCCAGGTTGAACCAATCAGACCATGAGGGGGACAGGCGAGGTACCCTAAAAGAAAACCGGGGGTGCCGTTACTGGAAAGACAAGGAATAAATGCTGGACCAGCAGGAATGCCAGATGGGACTCCTACCACATAGTAGGCCCTAAATAAAGATACATTCCATCAAATGAACAAATATCTCCATCAAAGGGTGGTTGTAAGGATAAAATGAAATAATTTATGCAAGTCCCTCTCATGCAGTCAGGCCTCAGCAGATCTTATCTCCAAGGAACAAGAGGTGCCCAAACTGGGTTTGGATTCTGGTTATGTACTGATAAGCACAGATGTTGGAAGAAACTGGAAGGAAGGGCTTCCCTTGCCTCAGCTAGGCCTCCCTCACATTCATTTTCCATCCCCGGGGCAGAGAAGGTCCAAGACC